GTGGGTGTGTGGGTGAGTGGGTGGATGGATGGATAAATGGTTGGGTGGATGAGTGGGTGTGTGGGTGAGTGGATGGATGGATAGGTGAATGGGTAGAGCTTATGTGGGTGGATGGATGGATGGATAGAAGGATAGATAGAGGAGAAGGGAAGAGAGAAGTTTAGTTTTAGAGGGATTTCCTCTGGTCCAGGAATAAGTTATGGTAGAATTGTCCGGACCCAGGAGGCCCCAGCTCTGGCTGCTTGGGAGGAAGTGACCATCTGAGGCCTGGCCTGGAGCCCAAAAGCTGGGGTGTGGGGGAATCGTGGCCGTGTTGACCAGAGTCCTGTAAACTTACATCGAAGTCCACTTTCTCCCCTTCTGGGATCTTAGGAGCAGTGAGTCTGAAGAGGAGACAGAGAGGCCCATGAGCAGAGACCCGGGAACCCACCCCAGAGCGTCAGCCTGGCGCTTTCCCCACTGGCCCCTGCTGACCCCGGTGCCCTCCTGCTCTGGCCCCTAGCTGAGGATGCCCCGCCCAGCGGCACGTTTGCCCCGGCTTTATTCTTATGGGGTTTGTAGCCCACCGTCCTGAGAGTGGCTTGAGACCCTCAAGAATGCTTTAGCTTTCAGCGCTGCCATCTGCCTTTCGGCTTCCGGCCGTTGCCAGTGTCACTGCACCCCAGCTACCAGGAGGGCACCTCCGTTTCCTTCTCAAACAGATAAACAGACGCAGCCAGGTCGGGTGAGAAGCTACAGCCACTGTGGGTGGCGGTGGCCTCCCTGGGCAGGAACAGCCACTGCGAGCCTGTGCCTTTCCCCAGCCCCTCTTTCATCTTTCTCTCTGGCGGCCCAAAGGAAGGAGGAGAGGGGGCTGGGAAGAAAGCAATCTGAAGGGGAAGCGAGGCCCCTCTCCGGCTGGGTGTGCAGTCCCCTCCTCTCACCAATACATTCCAGATGCAGCAAAGAGTTAAAACAACAACCATTTTTTTTCCCAACAAACCATAGAAGAAAGTGGAGCTAAATATCAATCAAAAACTGGGGCAGGAAAAGGTTTCCTAAGCTCAGAAGCACCAGAAGGTGCCTCTAAGGGAAAGAAGGCCAGATGACGCCACGCAAATGAAAAACTTATGTATGTGAAAAAAAAAAAAAAAAAAACGGAAAATGGAAAGGCAAAAAAAAAAAAAAAGACTAAAAAAATATTTTCAGCAAATACAGAGAAGACTTATATCCTTATGCAAACTGATGACTAAGAAAACACAGAGATTCTTCCACCAGGAGACAAATGAGCAATGGTCATGGCTATGAGTTCTCAGAGAAAAGACGACCCATCCCAAAGTCAGGGAAATGTTGGCCCCGAGTGACTGTTAGGGCACAAAGCCAAGCAGCCATGAGGTGCCGTTTCTCATCCATCAGAGCCTGCAATGTAAAAGCACGTTCCTGTCCCTGGGTGAGGAGGGTGTGGGACACAGACCCGCTCACATCCCACGTAGGAGACGGCGTTGGCCAGGCCCTTGTGGAAAGCAATTTGGCAGTGGATGTCAAAGCCTTAAGAACATTCATACTCTTTGACCCAGTAATTCCAGTTCTGGGAATGTGGCCTACGGAAATAACCCTAAAGACAGAAAACGCTTTCCAACCGGCGTTATTTATGATAGTAAAATATTGGGGAAAGCCTGCAATAGGGGAATGGTTAGGAAAATTACGGTTTGTCCAATTGATGGAATATTATGTGGCCATTCAAAATATTTAAGAAGACTGTGTAAAAACATGGAAAAATACTTATGAATAGTGCTAAATTTTAAAAAAGCAGAATTCAAGGCTGCAGAGACGGTATGATGTTTGAAAAACAGGGCCGACTTTAAATCTTTTTTTCCAAGCGCTATGCATGGAAAAAAGGAAGAAATAAGGCTTTTTAGTTCTTTCTGCTCTTTTCCACAGTCTGGCTGGCTGGGTGGGAGAGTTATAGATGACGTTTTTTCTTCATTTGACTTTTATATATTTTCCAAATTTTCTTTCATGAGGTGTTTTATTTTCATAATGAAAACACAAACAATTTTTCTAAAATGAGAAAATATCTCGTGATCTGGCATTACTGTACTTAAAATCACTGAAAACTACAGTGCAAAGGATGGGAATATGCCGGCTGTACCCTTCAGATGTTCTCACTCTTCTGAGGATCTGCAGTGCTCCCCAAGTGGGAACCAAAAGTGAGTGTGTGGTAAGACACTGTGAGATTCCACCTCGCACAGAGCAGAGCGCAGGCAAGAGCACTCGAGAGATAAAAGGGTGAATCACGTAGCGAGTGCTGCGGCTGGTGAGCACTGATCAAAAGCAGAAAAGTCAGAAGAGCTGCAGTAAAAAAACAAACCCATGAAGTGCTCACAAGCAGGTGCCATGAGGACAAGATGCTCCGAATTCTGCCCCAAAGGGGGACAGGGGCCCCTGCACGGTGAGCGATTTCGGACACGGTCAAGGTGTCATTCTGAAGTGGGTTTCTGGGGTGAGTCCCCCACCTTTCGCCACTTCTGGACTCACTTTCTTGTCGATTTTCACATCTAGGGCTCTGGGAGTCCTCGAAGTATGGCGGGGCATGATGTGGCCCCCCGAAGGCCATGAGGTGTCGCGGTGGCCCGACTCCCTGCACCCATCACCCTGCCTTCCTTCTTCGACTCTCTCCCTCCCACCTCTCCTCCCTTCTTCTGCGTCAGTAGCCTCCCCCTGCAGGAAGCCCCCTCTTCGTCTGCACCGAATGACCCCGCGCAAAATCACACCCTGCTGGGCCTCCAAGCCCATCTCCCAGGTGACCCTCATCCCTCCCACCCTGTGCTCTGAGCATCCCTCCGAATGCAGGCTCCAGGCATCTGGCCCTGGCCCGCTCCTCCACCCCCACCATGGAACACACTCACTGGGCGCCACACTCACTTGGCCGCCCCCTCCCCAGAACACGCTCGGCGCTGGGCCTGCCGGGACCCCACACTCACTTGGCCGCCCCGACCCCACACTCACTTGGGTCTTGGTTTCTCCTCTGGTCCGCGCAGCACCAGCGTGGGAAGAGGGACACCAGTGTGGGGAGAGGGACACCAGCATGGGGAGAGGGAGAGAGACAGCCTGGGTGAGACTGGGTTGCCTAGGGCCCTGGGGTCCCCCTCGCTGAAAGCCGCCGTCCTTTTCAGCTGGGTGTACTCCCAACCCCCAGAAACAAGAGGGTCCTGTTTCTGCTCTAGGCCTGCAAAAGCCCCTGGCAGGGTCAGAGGGGAAGAACTCAGGGCCTGGGGCCGGGAGGAAGGGTGAGGAAGAGGTAGGGAAGAAATAGGAGCGAGACAGGCAGCATCCTTGAAGGCTGGGAAGAGAGGAGACGGAGGAAAGAGGACAGGGGCCCAGAAAGAAGATGGGGAGGAAAGGGGCTCGGGAGAAAGGGGAGGGGGGCGCTCTGCTCGGGCTCTGGCACTGCTGGCTGGTCCCGCTTACTCCCCCTCCACTGTGTGGCAGAAGCTTGGAGACCCCAGCAGCACGGTGCAGAGCAGCAAGGCCTGGCCCTCTGAGGCCCCCGTGCCGGGGGAAGAGAAAGAGGACAGAGGGAGAGGGAGGCAGGGCAGCGAGAGACCCCAGCCTGTCCTCTTTCCCTCGCGTCGGCTACAGCCAGGGTCCTGCACCTCCAGCGGCGGGGACGGGCCCTTACCTTCCGCGTCCTCCTCTGTGGTGTCTTCCAGGTGGCAAAAGGCACAAGCACACATGCAAGAGAAAAGCCAGCGCAGCTGCGGGAGCGGCGGGCAAGGGGCCTGTGGCGGGCAAGGGGCCCACCCCTCTCACTCAGACCTTCTCTTCCCCAGGGTGCGCCTATGGGGCCCTACAAGTGTCAAGGGGCAACGTTGGGGGCTAAGAGCACTGGGTCTCATCTGTCCCCCTGGTCTGTCCTCTTGGGTCTGGCAGGGCCAACCTTGGAATCTGAGACCCTCCCCACCAAGAGGGAATTGCAGCCGGGGTGGGTGCAGCCCCTTCGCTTGGTGCTTCCTGGAGCCTGACCCCTGCCTGTAAAGGCAGTGTTGCTGGGTGGAACCCAGCAGGCCATGGAATGACTACAGCCCTCAGGCCTCAGGAGCCTCCGCCGGCAACGTGATGTCTAACTCCTTGCTGGTCTCAGCCCCAGGAGCCCCTGCCTGAGCCCAGAATGTCCACCGCAGCCCCCATCCACAGGCCAGGAGCCCAGGCGTGCTCACCCCTGACCTCCCTGGGACCTGCCGTCTGACTGCCACATGGCTGCTGTCCTGAGACTGGGCCCCTTTGGGACCCCCCTGCTATCTCTCCCTGGCTTCTCTGGGGCCTGCCTGGCCTGACCTGGCCACCCTAGTAACGGGCGGCTTCTTTTAGGATACACTCGGCTCCTGGACCTGGGGTGGACCTGGCTGGCCTGGCCTGGCTGGGGCCCAGGACGGGGGTCTGCTGCTGGCGTAGTGGCACCCGCCTGTCCTGTTCCTTCAGTCCCTGCTCTGGGCCTTAGGTAGCAGCAAGGCCATTGACACGCAATGCCCTCGGCCCTCCGAGTCTGGCCAAGAGCTGTCCCCTGCACTTGGCTAAGGCCAGCAGTCCTGGGCCCAGGGGTGGGGGTCCTGCCTTGCCAGTGCCTGGCCCGGGGTGCACTGGTCCTTGAGTCCTCCTTGCTGGCAGATACTTCGGTTGCCTGGGAGCCCCCACCAGAGAGCCCGCCAGCGCTCTTGATTTTGCAAGTGGGCCTGAGGTCACCCGTTCCAGACGCCTTGGGGGACGTGTGCACCGGGAGTGAGCGGTGGGGCATCCTGAGTGCCACAGCCTGGCCAAGGGCCCTGAAGGAACGGCGTGGTGAGGATGATGAATGGGCTGCTGGCCCCGGCCTCCCTGATTTAGGGATTTTGCTGGACGCAGTGCATGGCTGAGGAGCCCCCCCGGGTGGGAAGGCCAGCCAGGGGGGAGGGTGAGGTTGGGTGGGAGGCTGAGTGCTTGTGGGGAGCGACCACACGGCCAAGCAGCAAAGCTGTCCCGCGGCCCTGCCTCCTCCGCTCCTGCTCCACCCTCCCCTGCCGTCTGTCTGTCTGTCCGTCCACTGGCCTCAATGCTGGTTCCAGAGGGACCCAGCGACACTGTCACCCCCATAGGCCATCTCCTGGACCCCTCCCTGCACGGCTGGAGTCCCATCCCCCTCCTAGCGTGTCCCTTCTTGTCCAGGGGCCTCTCTGAGGCTCGAGTCATGCAAGAGCTCAGGCCCAGCAGGGAGGAGCCCCTCAGCTCCACAGCCCGTGAGTGGGGGGAGCTGAGAAACGCTCCCCAGCTGGGGCCCCTGACTTGAACGTGCAGCTCTCTGACCTCCGCCCAGGGGTACGGCCAGCCCCACTGCCAGGAAGGCCAGGCCCACCCAGGGGGCCTCCTCACTCCGGGTGTGTCTGGCTCGGGCCCAGGCAATGGGTGGGATGCTGTGACCTGGCTGCGCCTTTGCACGCATGGCCCCCGGCTGTTTCGGGTCCCCAGCGTCCCCACCTTGGGCCTCAGCCTGCCTTTCTGCTTCACTCCACTTGCCCCTCCACCCTCCCTTCCACCTCACCCCTCCCTACCTTCCCACTTCTGGCTTGCTAACTGGAGCAGGGTGGAGGCCTCTCCCGCGCTCTTCCCACCCCACCCTGGTGGATCCAGAGGGTCCCAGTGGACCCCAGCACAGTCCTCCCAAGGCCTGCTCTGCCTCGGCCTCAAGGCTGGCCACCCCCACCTCCCACCTTCCTGTTGGCAGCCCGGGAAGAGCCTCGTTGTCCCCAGGCTATGGAATCAATGCTCTCTGCCTGGGAGACCCAGGAAAACCTGCACCCCACTGACACCAGCCCTTCCTAAGCCGGGGTCCTCACTCTGTCCCCAGCCCAGAGGCCAGAACCGGTCACGTTGTTGGTGGCAAATGTCACAAGCGGTGGGCAAGAGGGAGGAAGTGAGAGAGGACGGAAGGGAGGACGGGGGCTCTGGCCTGGAGGCTGGGGAGCACCAGCGTACCTTCTTGAACTTCCTCTGCAGAAGCAGCGTCGTGGTGGGCAGAGAGGGCGGGAGGGAGAGAGAACCAGTGTGAGCGGTGGCAGCGCAGAGAAAGGGGGGGTTGGCAGGGCTGAGGCGGTGGGGCGAGCAGGCCAGGCTGTGCAGGGTTACGCGGCCCCTCTTGTTCCTTCTTGGTTCCTGCACCCCCCACATGGCCACATGTGCCCATGTGGCGTTGAAGTCATGCACGTACCTGGTTCATGAACTTCATGGGCTAAGGAGGCCACGGAACAAGAGGCAAAACCGCGGGTCAGAGGTCAAAGGAGAAGGGTCCGAGGTTAATGGAAAAGCGGCCCGTCGCCACTCGAGGCCGAGGGTGGGGCACGTGCGGGGATCGAGCAAGACACAGTCAGAGTTAGCCCAGGCACGGCCACCACCCCAGTCCCATGTCCCCAAACCCTGCTGTCAGCATCTGGGAGCACCCCAGGTGGGGAAACTGAGGTGAGCTGTGGCTCTAGCCCTTGGTAGAGAAGACTCGGTACTGGGGCTGGGCCTTCCTTTGTTTGTCCCCATCCCGTCTGTCCTGGGGTGCCCCTGGAAGGGTGTCTGTGCCTCTGGCCGGGGCACCAAGGCCCATGGGCAAGGTTGTAGCCTGGCCAGGCGGCCCCAGGGGCCCACAAAGGCAGTGCTGGTAGCCCTGGGAGGCAGAGCCACAGATGGGCCATGGAAGGCATCCCCAGGACCCCCATTCCTGCCATCCCAACAGCTGGAGGCCCACTCTTTCTTTCCCTGATGGGATTCTTTCCACCCTCCTAGGGTGCTGGCAGCCCTGGGCACCAATGATGGCTCTGCCTGCTGATCTGGGCATAGAACCCCAGCCCTCCCATCTGCCCCCAGCCTGGGTGCACCTCAAGGGTCTCACAGGCAGAAGGCTTGGGGGGCTGGCGCGGGCACGCACAGGAGGGAGCTGACTGTGCCAGGCTGCAGGGTTCTGCCCGCAACTGCTTTCTCTCCCCTCACTCTGTGGTGTCCCAAGGTGTGGCGGGGGGTCCTGGCCAGGCCCAGGGCTCAACGCTACCACGGGCTCCTGGCTGCTCACCCTGGGGTGGAGGACTAGGGTGGGCCTATGTGTCCCCTCTGCCCCATGCTTGGGGACGCCCTGCTGACCAGCAGCCCAGCCTGGGGAGTCCCTGGCCCTGCTGCCTGGGAGGCTATGGGGAAGGGGGCCCACCCTCGAAACCCCACGCCCTCTCTGGTCAAGCATTGGCCATGGTTAGTGGGTTACATTAGGGCCACATGTGGAGGCCCCTTGGCTGGCTGGTACCTCGTGGCTTCCCCACCCTCTCCCCCACCCCCACGTGGGCTCCAGCCAGGCCCCGGGCCCCACATGGGGACCAGAAGTCCTGTGTCCTCATACCTTCCTCATGGACTTCTGCAGCTGAGGAGAGCCAGGGGTTGCAGGTGGCAGGGGGAGAGAGGAGAGGGTTAGACAGGGGCACACGGCAATCCTTAGAGGCAGGGTGGAGGTCAATGTCGGGTGGGGCAGGAAGGCTGGGGAGTGGGCATGGGGGCCGGGGCCTTGGACCCTACTTACCTTCCTCCTGGGCTTCCTCTGAGAGCCGGAGAAGCCAGGAGCAGAAGAAGGCGGGGTTGGGGGAGAGAGGGAACAGAGACAGTGATTAGAGTGTACTCAGGCCGCACGGACAGGAGGCCGGCTGGCCGGGAGAAGAGGGCCTGGGGCTCGCTTGGCTGGGGTAAAAGATGGGGGTCAGTCCTGCATCTCTGGCCAGCCTGGGGAGCACAGACTCCCACCAGCAGAGCTGGTCACTGTCAGTTGGGCTGGGCCCGGTCCCTGAGAGGGGTTCTGAGGTCCCTCCTACCCTCCCGGGGGCCGGGTATTCCCATGCCTGGAGGCATTTGTGCACAGAGGCCCTTGCTAAGTCCCGCTTTGCAGGTGACGCAAGTGAGGACGGGGACAAAACCCACAGGGCCTGTGGGAAGCCCCGGCTCTGAGTCGTCTGGAAACGAGGCTGGCACCGAGGGGTCTTTGGAGACATGTCACGTGAAGACCCTTCCGTGGCCTTCCGTGGCCTTCCGTGGCCTCCCAGCCTACCCCGTGGCTGCCCCAAGAGAAAAGGTGGCTCCCCAGGGCCACAGTTCCCTCCCAGAAATGAGTCTTTCCACCTTTTCGGGAGAAAAAGAAATGTTTTGCTGACGTTGTTAGGGTAGCCAAGTGTTTTCAAAATATTTTCAAAACATAGCACTTAGGACTCCTCACAGGACAGCCCTGACTGTTAAGGTTTCGTGAACGCGCTCCCCAGTTGAGCGGGTGCCAGGGATTCCAGGGCAGCGTCGTCGGCCTGAGAACTGCCGCCCCGCACGGTTCCCAGGTGCGCCCACGCCCGCCCACGCCTGCCCGGGCACGATGGAGACGCCCACAGACCACACCTGGCCAGCACAGGGAGGGGGCTCCAGGCTCCACCCAGGGTTACAGCACAGGGTAGTGGGTGGTACGGAGGGATGGAGACACAGGGAGACAGAGATGGAGATGGAGGTGGAGAAATGGGGACAGAGAGGCCAAGAGAGACAGAGACTGAGAGAGAGAGGCAGGGAGAGACAGAGACCAAGAGGCTGAAAGATACAGAGACAGAGAGAAGCTGAGAGATAAACAGGCACACAGAGAGCCCAGGGTGCCAAGAGAGATGTGGAAAGGAACTGGAGAGAGATGGAGAGACTCTGAGATTCCGGGAGGGCAGACATAGAGAGGGAGGCTGAAAGACAGCAGCACTGGGCACGGTGGGGCACCCGGTGTTAACGAGAGTGAGGCCCTCGTGACCAGCCCCAGTGAACCCCACACACCACGGCACACGGAGGATGAAGGATAAATGAAGGATCATGAGTGCATATTAATCAATTAAAGAGACAGGGGTTAGTGATGATTTACTGGCTCATTCATCATTAATTAAGTGACAGCCTCATTCATCATTAATTAATGATGAATGGTGATTGTTAATGACTAATGATAAGAGAGATGGATGGTTGATTGATAAGCTCAAGGCGGCCTGGAGCAGCCTGGGGAGGGGTTCTGTGAGTGCCACACGGGGAGGGGGTTAAGTTCTAAGGAGGGGCTGGGGGGCTTCCAGCGGTTGCCGGAATTACCTTCTTCTTCGTACTGCTCTGCATTGGGAAGAACAAAAGAGGGGAACCACGTTAGAAGGGGCCGCCCGTGAAGGGAGGAGGAAGAGGAGGACAGGCCAGTGACTCCCCCTGGCCAAGGGTGTGGAATTGGGGGTCCTCGAGCCCAGAGGAGGTGCTGAGGAAGGCAGAGGCTCTGGTGATGATGGTGGCTTTTGGTGGGCTCGGGGGTCCTGGATGCCCACGTCCCACAGTGGGCATGAGAGAGGCAGAGAGACAGGACCCAGAGCCTGACCTGCAGGCCCCTCAGGACTGTGTGGCCACCCGTCGGGGAAAAGACCCTCGAGGCCCCCAGTCGGACAGCTGTTTTCCGGGGGTCACTCAGAAGGCACCCATGGCATGTAGCCAACGTAGGGCTGCTAAGGGGACACGTGGTATGCACAGTCCAGCCCCCTGCCCAGGTGTGACCCTTCGTTCTAGAGCAGGAAGTAGAAGGAAAATGGGTTATACTTACCCTCCACCTGTTCACTGTGGGGCAGGGAAAGAGAGAGAAAGAAAGAGAGAGGTGGTGAGGCTGGGCTCTGCTTGGACTTGTGCAAGTTAGGGCGTGCTCCAGGCCCACGGAAGCCAAGGGGCCGGGGTCCCGAGCCGGGCGGGGGGTAGCCACCAGCTAGGTACTCACACTTCCTCGTCAGACATGGTGAAGGTGGGTGGTTTCTGCAGAGAGAGATTGAGAGACAGAGAGAGAGAGAGAGAAAGAAAGAGAGAGGATGGAAAGAGAGTTCAGAGCTGCCTGAGCGTAGGGTGGGGGATGGACTCTTGGAGCAGTACTGTGGGGAGACTGCGTGCAGGGTTTGGGGGCCAGCTCTGGCCTTGGACGAGTCCACCTCTTTGGGCCCCCCCTTCCTCCAGGGCTCCTGGCCCCTCCCAGCCCTTGGCGCCCCGGACTCTGTCCCCTCTTCCTGCCTTGGCTGCAGCCTGGAGCTTGGAATCTTGGAGTTGGACGGGATGTTGGAAGGTCGTGGCATCCACCCCCACCCAGGGCAGACATCCTCTCCGCAGCGTCCCCTGAGGAGGGTCATCCAGAATGCAGGGCGTGTGCCGTCCAGCCCGCTCTGGACACTGGAAAAGTCCTGCTGATGGAGCTGAAACCTGTCTCTGGGTATTCTCTGCCCAGTGGGTGTAGGCGGGGTCTCCCTGTGAGCCCCTGGATGACCGAGGCTGGCTCCCCAAGATGGGTAATCTGCTCAGCCTACCGTTCCCCATGAGAACCCCTCCTCCCTGTTTGAGCCCAAAGCTCCCTTCTGTGCCCGTTTTCCTATGGGGTGCTTGGAGTCCCTGGTGTGCCCACCACATCCCTCTGAGGACCCCTCCTCCAAGATCACAGAGTAGGGAAGCTGCTCCGTCTTGTCACCCCTGTCTCCTGAAGACACTGAGGCTGAGCTCCGGAGCACATTGGGTTGGGTCTGGGCTGCTTCCCGTGCACCCCCCCGAGCCGGGCTCTGTGCAAGGCATACTTGGACTGCAGGAGCCCACTGAGAAGCCCCCCCATTTCCCTCCCAGTGGCCGCTTTCCCCAGCCCCGGGGGTGCTCTGGATCTGTCCCTCCGTGCCCGGGACTGGCTGCCCTGTCCGTGTGCGGTGGTGGCTCCAGGCCAGCATGCTGGGGACCATCTCTCTGTGAGCTGGCCACGATGCACACCGGGCGGCCAGGCCTGGGGAGGCTCTGAGCAGCTGCACCGGCATGTTGGCCAGGGTTTTAGAAAACAAAGTTCATTACAACACAGTACAGATCACTCGAAGACAATAGTTACGGTCCCCCCTGGGAGTGCTATATAAGAAAAACACACGTTCATCAGCTAAAAATGCATCTACGTTGCATTGCTGAGGTGGGAACCGTTTTCCAAACCCTTTGTCAAGAATGTTAATTTTCCCAGAGCAACTTAAGCTCCGTGCAAAATTATCCAGCAGATAGCTGTCTTCCAGGCAACGGGGGCCACTTTTCCCTATCCCAGAACCTCTTCCTGAACTCTGCTGCCCCTCAAGTTAAGCCTCTTGTAACTGCCACGGCTGGGCCAGGCTCTCCTCCGTCCTCAACCCCACCAGCCAGTGTTGCCCAGGCCCCCGGCATGACCCAGTCCTGGGCTGCCCACCGACCCCTCGTGCTGTCCTCCTCGCTGCTTCAGGCCCCAAACCCCACAGCCTCCTCTAGGGCCACCCTCTGTATGGAGGAGGGTCAGTGAAAGGAGGGAGCGGAGCCCGGCCCCACCCTGCTGTGCCCACCCCTGACCCTGGCCGGGCTGACACCTGTCGACTGCCGCAAGATGGGGGCGGCGTGGCCCTCGCCTGGAGTGGGTTATTTATAAGGAGCCAGTGGCAGCTGAGGTGTCCAGAAATAGGCAAGACATTTCTGCCCAGAAACCCAAGACGTGGGTGAGGCAGGTGTGACAGCCCAGCCCTCCTTGGCCCGCAGCGGCCCCCTCACCCTCGGGCACCCAGGCCCTCCCCAGCTCCTCATATTTCCCTCCTGTGCCCCCAGGCCAGAGTCACATGGGTGCCCCGACACCCCCAGGCAGGGTGACCTCGAGGCCCACCGACGTGAGGTGGGAAAGGCCCACTCTTGAAGTGGGGAGACTGAGGCATCTGGTTTTCTGCTGAGCGCCTGGAAGCAACACAAGGCTGTTCTGTTCCCCGCAGTATGGCCTGTGTCATCGCCCCTCTTTGGGGAAGGGGCTGGTGGCAGGGGTGTGCTGGGGGCAAGGGACGGCATTTCAACAGCTGAGAAGCAAAGCAGGTGTCCAGTTAGTGCCTGCCTCAGAGGGGCTGCGTGAAAATAACCTATGCGGTCAGGTTCCTTAGGCACACACGTCACCCTTCGCTCCTTCGGAGGTGACGGGGCCAGGGTGGGGTAGGGAGGCAGGAACCACTGCCCCTTGCTTGCTGTGGTCCTGACCATGCCCCCAGACCTGCTGTCCAGCCAACCAACCTATGCCTTGCCCCATGTTCGCCATGGACTTCAGGAGGGGCGCCCAAGGCCTGATCAGACGGCACAAGTCAGGGGGACCATGTCCAGGGCAGGGAGAGTGGGTGGGGGCTCTTAAGAGCACCAGCTCCTCCAGCCTCCAGCCAGGGGGACGCTGTGAAGCCCAGCCCCTCATTCATGCCCCGTCCTGCCCCAGTCCGGCCCCTGTTCACTTCTGTCCTGCACCTCCAGACACTGGCCCCCAAGACTGTGAGGGCTTTAGATGCCCCTGCCCCGATGCAATCCTGGGCTGGCCATACATGAGCCCCTGCCCTCCTGTCCTTGTTTTCGTCTCTACAAAATGGCGGTGTTGGAGGCCCAGGTGCGAGGGCAGCATGGCAAGGCCAGGATGGGCCCAGGCAAATGTCTGCATGGCGGCTGCAAGCAGGCAACCTAAGCCCTGGCAGCGCCCCTGCATGGCCTCTTCCCTGCCACTCACACCCCGCGCCTCTCTGCCTCCTGCTTTCAGGCCACTCCCTAGCACTGGGCGTCCCTAAGCCCCAACTTCTCCCCTCCCGGCCTCCCACACTCTGCCTTCTTCCGTGTCCTCCCGGTGCAGAGACCATCACACCACTGTGTCCGCATCCCACACTCTCCGGACCCTGGAGCAGCCACCTGGGGGCTTGGAGCCACCATGCTTGAAGTTGAGATGCTCGGCACCACGCGGGCCTGGGACCTCGGTGCCCCAGGACCCCAGAGTGTCCCTGGAACAAGGGGCTGTCCACCCGCACGTAGGAGGCCCCATCGGCCCAGGCCCTGGGTGGCCGTTCCTGCCCATACCCACCTGCGGGTTGAGTGTGAGAAGGGCTGGAGCTCCCTGTGGACAGGACCGGCTGCAGGCACTGGCGCCCGGCTCACACCCTCGTGTTATAGTGACATTTGATCTTCCCAGCAGCCCATTGGCCAGTGGCTGGGTGGCCGGGGTGTGTGTGGAGTCAGCGGGGGGGTGGGGGGGCTGTGCCCGTGCAGGCCCCTTACCAAGTATAGGAATAGCCAGAGGAGGAGGATGAAGGAGGCCAGGATGCAGAGGACGTGCTTGGAGAAGGAGGCAAGGTCCCCCCTCCGCCTCCAGGAGGTGTCAGCTGCTATTTTTACTTCCAGCAGCGGGTACATTCTGGATGGGCCGAGGAGGGGAGGAGGAAGGTGTTGGGTGGCCCTGGGGCACAAAGCCGAGGCTCTCTTTGGGCCAAATTGATGTGGGGGTCACCAGAGCCGGGCTGCCAAGTTTCCCATCTCCTTGCCCCTTCTTTCTGAGATGTTCTGTGGGAGTAAACCTTTGTCCAGGAAAAGGGTCTGCACAGCCAGGGTTCCCTCCCGCTACCCAGCCCAATGCCCCAGGCCCTTTGCTGTCTCGCCTAGGGGAGGAAGCACCCTGAGGCCTGGGAGACCCCCCATGAAACTGAGGCCAGGCCCCCATCCCATCTGAGACCCCCTTAGAGGTCAGCTGTGCTTCCCCAGGTGGACGCCACTGGGGCCCACACAATAAGCGGGCGAGGGACATGGCCAGGCTGGCTGCAGTCCGAGTCTGCCATACCTCGCCTGGGGCTGGTGCCATCGCAGGGAGCTATATCTGGAGTTTGCTGGGTGAGGGTCTGGGTCCTCCCTCTAGGCCCTCTCTCACCCCGGGGCCCCGGGACCCTGGGCACTCGCAGTGGCTGTTACCATCTGTGCCAGCGTCTCCCACAGGCTCATGGTGGCTTGTGGAGACTGGTTTTCTTTCCTCAGGGCTCCAGGTGGCACCGTCCGACTAGCAGACACCCTCCCTGGCCTCTGATGACCCCTATGCTGGCCAGTGAGGCCACCAGCTTGGATGGCCCTGCCTCTTGGATCAGGGAAACTGAGGCAACAGGTGGAGGAGAGCAGTCGGGCACCCTGACCGGCCCCCTTACTCCCCTCAGACCCCACAGGCTGAGCGTGGGCGGTGGTGTCTGTGGAACTCTCCGGTTTAGGCACAGGTTGGTTCCTTCTTGGCCAGCGCCCAGGACAGGGGTGAGTCCCGAGAGGCACAGACGAGGTCCCTGTCCTCCCCAGGCTTAGAGTCAGGGACATCAGGTCAACGCGCAGGGGCTCACAGTGCCATGGGGTCGGGCCGGGGGCCTTCTGGAAGGCTTTGGTTGGCACCTCATTCCAGCCCTCCATGGAAGAATGAGGCCGCAGAGCCCAGGGACAGGCAGGGTGTGCCTAAGGTCACACGACAAGGCGGGCTGGCCCCAGGCTGCCATTTCAAAGGACGGGGCCTGTCCCCTGCCTGCCTCCCCCTGAGTGCCGGGCACTGGGAAGGCTCTTGAAGCTGGAGTTGCTGGGAACGTCCCTGTCCTGCTTTGGGTCTGTGGCTTCCTCTGCACTCCACACCTTCCCGCCCCCGTCCATGTCCGCGATGGGCAGGGCTTTGGGGGCCACGTACAACCCTGGCCCCTGGACATCCATGACCAACTTTTTGCCCACTGGGGACATCTGCAGAGCTGCTCCCTCAGAGGCACCTGAGCGGCTTCCTGCAGGTTGGCGGGCCCACCCTGTCCTCTCCCATGGTGGGGCCAACCTCCTTTTCCAGGCTGGCCCTGCCGGCTCCCCTAACGGAGCCCTGAGCGCACCATTGTGGTTACACATGGCTCAGTCCGCAGGCCTGGGAAGCCTGTGCCCACCCAAGTCCTCGCCCAAGCCAGGGGTCCTGAGGGGCGCATCTGAAGGTGGGCATGCCATGGCCCTGCACTGGCCCCGGGTGGCCAGCAGGGGAGGGTGCTGCCCGCCCAGCTCCTCGGGTTTTGGCAGGCACTCTCCGCCCAGCCGGCTGAGGTCAGAAGCACAGGGCAGGTTTTATTTTGGGTATCGGCGACCTCCCGCTTAGGGCGCTGGGCCTGAGGCGTAGCAGGGACTGCACAGAGCAGGCACCAGCGGCCTTGAGGGTCTGCACCAGGTAACCTGCGCCCTGCTGCCATCTGGCCTGACCAGGGTGGTCCGAGAGAGGAGGCAGGGCAGGGGCCACTATAGACCTGGGTGGGGGCACGGCACAAGGGAGGCCCAGCCTGGGTTGGGGACGCATTTCCATGCTGGAGGAGTCTGAGGACGGACCATGGGGCCTTGGCTCTAGGGCAGTTGTTGGGGAATGGGGAAGGTTCTGAAACTGGTGAAAGCTGAGCCAAGCCCAGGGAGTGGGGAGCAGGCTGTGGGAGGGAGGATGACCTCCTGAGTGTCTTGGCTTCGGCTCTCTGCCTGGGTGACCCCCAGATGGTGGCCGGGGTCCCTCAATCTAGGTCCCAGCACCCAGTACGCATGGTTGGGAGTTGTGGAGACCAAGAGGGTCCTGAGCCTCTCCTCATGCCCTGAGCTGACCTGAGTGCCCAAACTGGTTCCAGCCTGAGGCCACTCGGCCCAGTTGTGGGCTCAGACACTGCCAGGCCCAGGACAGGAGCGGCTGACACAGCACTTGGGGACTGAGCTGCTCTAGCCCGAGGTAGCTGCCTCCCCACATGCCTAGTGCTTCTGATTGTGCAGACTAATTGACTCATTCTGCAGAGATGATGGTCGTCTTCTGTGTGGGGCTGGCCTAGGGGCCTGTAGCAAGGGTCACAGGATGTCAGGTGGCTGCTCTGGCAGACAGGACAGAGGTTAAGGGCTTCGTCTGCCATCCCTGGCCAGGGGCCTCATAGGCTGCAGCCCTTTTGAGCCTCCTGACGTCTGCACTGGGCATGGCCTGACCTCCAGGTTTCCAGAGCAGAGGCATGGGGTTGCTGTAACCATGGAGAGGAGGCTGCACCAGAAACACAGCAGGGCTGAGGCTGGGCAGAGCTCAGAGGGACAGGCCCTGGGTCCTTGTCCTCAAGGCTGAGCTGAGGGGTGCGGAGGATCTGACAAGAGGCCAGGGCTGGTCGGGGGCCGGCGGGGGCAGTGGCTGCCTCCTCAGCACTGCTGATCCCAACTACCCCCTGCCCCTGGTGCTGTCCACTCTGCACCCCAGTGCTGAGTGCCCAGCTGCGGCCTTTGGGCCTGCCTCTGCTGGCTGCCCTTGGTCACCGTCCCATCCAGATCGGGTGGGAAAGGAAGGGAGTGCTGTCACCGGGTGGTTCCCCAGCTGGGCAGGGTGGCCTGGATGCTCTCTCAGTGGCTGGGGCATCTGAGAAAGGATGGGGACACATCATCTCCCTTGCGTGGGTGGCGGCTCTGTCGAGGTTTTGCTTTTCTGAACTGTGTGTATTCATGAGACAAGCAGGGTTTGACATGAAACCTTCAGAAAATAGTGGCTGTGAGGAGCCAAGGGAATGGCAAAGTGAAGTCCAGAACATCAGAGTTTGGGGGACCTGCTCCTCAAAGGGGTTTCCCAGACACTGAGGGCTGCAGGGCTGAGTGTCAGGCCCCAGTGCAGGACCTGGGAGAGGAGGGACAGGAGGGAGGATGTCCCCAGGCTGTCTGCTGTTTCACAGTTGTGCATTCGTCCACCCATCTATTCATTCCCATGCATTCACTCTCACTTTCACTACTTCCTTTCCTTCCTTCCTCCCTCCTCTTCCATCATCCATCCCTCTGTCTGTCCATCCCTTCATCCACCCATACATCACCTACCCATCCACTCATTTATCCCTCCATTTCATCCATCCCTCCCGCCATCTGTCCATCCATCATTAGTCTATCCATCCATTCATCCACCCATATATCTATCTATCTACCTATCTATCTATCTATCTATCTATCTATCTATCTATCTATCTATCTATCTATCCATCCATCCATCCATCCATCCATCCATCCATCCATCTATCGATCCATCCATCTCTTCATCCATCCATCTACCCATTCATGCATCCATCTATCCCTCCATCCATCCCTCCCTCCATCCCTTCATCCACCCACCCTTCATCCATCCCTCCTTCCCTCCATCCATCCATCCATACATCCACTCATCCATCCACCCACCCACCCACCTACCCATCCACTCATTCATCCCTTCTTCCATCCATCCTTCCCTCCCTCTGTCCTTCCAGGCATCCATCTCTTCACCCATCCATCCACCCACCCATCTACCCATCTACTCATTCATCCCTCCATTCATCCATCCACGTATCCATTCACTCACTCACTCACCTATCTATCCATCCATCCTTTCATCCATCCATTCATCTACCCACCCACACATCCATCCCTCCATCATCCATCCACCTATCCATCCATCCGTCCATCCACTCATCCATCCCTTCATCCATCCGTCCATCCATCTACCCATCCATGCATCCATCCCTTCATTCATCAATCCCTCCAATGCATCCACCTATCCATCCATCCAACCACATACCTATCCCTTCATTTATCCCTCCTTCCTTCCATCCATCCATCCACCCAGCCACCTACCCATCCATCACTCATCCCTCCCTCCATCCCTCCCTCCCTCACTCTGTCCATTCATCCAGCCATCCTTTCATCCATCCATCCACTCATCTACCCATTCACTCAGACATCCCTCCATTCATCCATCCTCCTATCCATTCACTAACCCATCCATCCATCCAGCCAGCCAGCCAGCCAGCCAGCCAGTCAGCCAGCCATCCTCCCACCCACCCATCCATTCACTCACCTATTCACCCACTGATTCATCCATCAATCCATCCATCCACCCACCTGCTTACCCAATCACTCATCCATACATCCCTCTATCCATTCATCCATCCCCTATTCATCCACTCACCCATCCCTCCACTCGCCCACCCAGCCATGCATCCACTCACCCACCTACCCATCCATTCACCCACCTATCTCTCCACTCATCCACCCATTCATCTATTCATCTATCCATTCATCCACCCACCCACCCATCCATCCACCCACCCACCCATCCATCCATCCACCCATCCATCCATCCACCCACCCATCCACCCATTTGACTGTTTACCAAACCTTCACTGAGCACCTCCTGGGTGGTGTTGGGGGAGGCTCCGAGGTGAATCTTGCCCTCAGTGGGTGCACAGTCAGGCACAGAAGTTTATATTGGGCTAGTC